CGCAGGCACGGCACGTACAGACACGCGCGCACGCACTCACAGACACCTGCGCACGCACGCAAGCACAGACACGCGCACTCATGCACGCACAGACCACGCGCACGCACGCACGACGCACGCACAGACACGCACGCACGCACGCAAGCCGCAGACACGCACGCAAGCACAGACACGCGCACTCATGCACGCACAGACACGCGCACTCACGCACGCACAGACACCGCGAACTCACGCACGTCACAACACGCGCCACTCACGCACGCAAGACACGCGCACTCACGCACTCACGCACGCACAGACGCGCGCACTCACGCGACCACAGGACGCGCATACTCATCACGCACAGACACGTGCACTCACCGCACGCAGCGCACGCACGCTACGCACAGACGCGCAAGCGCACGCACGCACGTACAGACACGCGCACGCACGCACGTACAGACACACGTACACACACGCGCGCGGCCACGTACGCACGGACACACGCACACACATGCACTAACCCTACCGATAAATTATAATAGCACTTCACTTTATTCGGTTTAACGAGTGGCAAACTAAACAACCAACCTAACTATCAGATAACGCACAACAGAATAGACACTAACGCAGTTCGTCTACTTTCAACGTTTTATTAATACAAATCAAACTTTCGCAATAGTCTATCTCCTAACATTGTGGCACAGTGTCAACATAAATCTACCAGCCTCTCTCTCATACACACGCTCACGCGGTTTTCCTTCTACGCGCACGTGCAGAAGCCGTCCCCATTGCAACCAATGTGAGCTTCCCTCAGCCCTAGCGAGAGGGTCACGGTGGGTATTGTGTTTGATACATGTATAGCAGCATTACTTTCGTGTCTCCCGTTCACAATGAAGACGAACTGCTGTTCAAGGGTCTCGCTCGCTATCGTCGTGTTCACACATAGAAAAAACGTCGACAGAGCCCTCTATCGTCGCGCAACGCAATCACACCGCACACACACGAGTTGCTCCCCGGCGCATGCGCTGTGCGTGCGAGGCGAGATTGGAGAAAACTTTGGGTAATGAAGACATGAAATGTTTGAACGTGTGGGAAGACTGGTTGCCATGGGAGACCACCTCCGTCCAAGCGACATTCGTGAAGCTACAGGGGCGTCTGTGGCACCCATCGTTCGCACGTAACCTAGTCTACATAACACACACCCTACTCACTGTATTTACACAAGTTTAAATAGTTGCGCACTGTTATATACCGCGCGCAGACGCACTACGTAAATATATGCTTCAATCATAACAGGTTGCTCTTGGTCTCACTAGCACGATGGAATCAACACACAGAGAATACATCTTTGGTCTTGCTCTTAGGGTTCTAGGAACTTGACAATTAAGCGGACTAACAAATGAATAATTATATGCGAGAGAGTGCTTACGAAGCAACTCTGACTCTAGACTGCCCCCCAGTATCTTCACTTCGTGAGCAGAATAATCAATATCAGAATAAGAATCTTCTAACAAAGTAAAAAGACAAGAAAATAATCTATGCTGGCCACAGCGTGCGGATGTTCGATTTTGCGGGGCGCCATCTGTTGGACGCTTTTATATACTCGTACAAAATAAATACTGGAAATCGACACTGGAAAATTTATCTATATGAATATTGCCTTTGGTCTCAACTTCGATCGTAAAATAAAAATAGATAAAAATAAATTTAATGATAACTGAAATACATCGTACCTGGAATAGCATAACCCCCATCCCCAAAACACACACACACTGGTCACGAAATGATAGCAAAACTTAACAAATTTAAGCATATACGCTTTCAATATTTATATATACTATATATAGATATAGATATATATATATGAAGATCATCAGAAAATAAATAAATCAAACCGACATTATATTATATAACTCTTCGTAATATCACACGAAGCCCAAACGGACCTTCTTTGGTTAAAGACAAAACAGTTTTCCATTTGATTTCCTTCACTGGAACCATCTTTCCAGCTGGAAGCTAGACCGGCTGCTGTCCGCATTACAGAGTTACCTAAACCCGTTCACACTTGCGGCACACCAACCCTACAAAACCTATGACGTCATCGATATATGTGCACGCCTACGAACATAGCAGACCTGAAAACAAGCATCGCGAGATTTTCCCGCGCTAATGTTGCGATTATTGTGATGAAGACGTGAGAACACGCTCTCACTGCCTACAAACAAGAGAGCATTCATCGCTAACAAGCGCAACTAGTTCAGCTATACGTGCGCAAGATCGGTGAGGGCGCGCCTGCAAGCAGCCGCCAACAACCAAAGTACCACAGAACAGACATATTGCTATTTTTCACTCACCTACTATCTGCACCCCTTCTCCCTTCTCTCTGAGAACACTATCACCATACTGTTACATTGAAAGAGCCGCCTCACCCCTTGCTTACCTATCCCTGTGTTCACTTAGCATCCCTTCCTTGCCTAGCTAACCCTCACCTCTCCATCTAGCTATTCTTTCCCTCCCTCACTATCTGTCCCTCACTTCCCCGTCACTAGTAAACCTCAACCCTACCCGCAAGTAATTGTCTTGCCCTTCTCACGTACTTTCCCTTAGTCCCACTAGCTACTGTCCCCCTCCCCCCCCCACACACACAGATAACTGTCTCTTTCCTTGTCATACAAGAAAACCTTCCATGGTCCTCCACGAGCTAGCAATCCTGGATTCCCTGCCGTCATCTATCTACCATGGTCCTACACAAGCTTACCACTCTATGGATCCAATTTACTGCCCCGCGATTCCACCACTTCGCTGCCTTTTTTCCTTCACCGCCCAGCTACCCCTTCATTCCACCACCTAGCTGCGGGCTGGGCCTGGTTCCATCTTCTAACCGCGTCGACACAAGAGGGCGCCTCGTGACGAGGGAATGTAACGAGGGGGTGGCGACGACTACGTCTAGTACTGCGGGTACTTTGGCCGTGTGCCCGCTGCAATGCGCGCCTGCAGCGCCTCCTTGCTCCGTATAGCCTCCTCTTGCTTCTGCCGGTCGGTTCCCGCGGCAACGTAGGAGAAGATGCACAGGATCGAGTAGCAGATGTGGTCAGCCTGCGTCGGGGGACAAAAACAGACGGCATTAACCGACGCGAACAAGCGAACATGCTCGCGGAAACGCGCTCGCGGAAAGTTAGCCAGCGTTGACCAGCGTTAAGCTGTCGTCGTGACAAACACCGACACGCGATTCGACGTTTCTCGCGAGGATTGCGTGCGATGACGCGCCGCGTGAGTGAGTGCTGTGAAGGAGCTGCAACATGACCCAGCATGACCTCGCATGACCCCGCACGACCCCGCATGACCTCGCATGACCCCGCATGACCCCGCACGCACCGATCGCTCGCGCGTCACCCGGCACCGAGGCTCGGGGGTAGGGAGGGGGGGACGTTGTCAGAAACAAACTTAGTCTTAACATTAGTCTTTTCTCATTAACATTAGTCATTTCTCATTAACATTAGTCATTTCTCATTAACATTAGTCATTTCTCATTAACATTAGTCATTTCTCATTAACATTAGTCTTTTCTCATTAACATTAGTCATTAGTCATTAGTCCCCATAACGCGCGACGCCAGCGCAAGACAGACATGCGCGCCACACTGGCGCGTTTCTATAACGGTGTCACGACAGCGTATACGACAAATAAACGAACAAGTGACATCATCGCAGAGAGAGAGAGAGAGCGAGACAAGAGCGATCAGCCGTCACAATGGAAGGTGGCAAGGTCGAGATATACACAACAAAACACTGCCGCTAGTCACGTGGACACACGCGCACGCACGCACGCACGCACGCATGCACGCACGCCACAACGCACGCGAGCACACGCGGTTTTGAATGCGGTCTCCCTCCTCACACATGAACGCGCTGATGTTGGGCGACGCAATATCGCGCCGCGCCGCGTCGCGCCGTCGTACCGGCGACGGTAACACTCATGAAACCACGAGGAGACGCGAGAGCCTATAAGACCCTTGAGAATTTACTTAAACGATAAGTCAGTTATGCGTCTCTCTATCTACACACGGCTTCATGGGCCAGAGCCCTGACATACATACAGAGAGACACAGATAGAGTTAAAATCGAACGCGACGACATATTTCGAGCGCAGCGGTGTTGGAGCACAGCTAGCTGACGCTCGCCCGCCAGCCAGACCTCCTCACGCACCGCTACAAAGAAGCTAACCGAGCGAAACACGAACCGCGTCATCACAGACACGCACAGCAGCAAACGAATGTAAATCAAGCCACACGGACACGATTCCTGCGACGCAGCCGACGGCGCGTCGATCAGTCGCCAGAGCGGGCCACGCGTCGCGGCGGTGGCGCCCCCTACGTATCCCCGATGATTGCTTCGAGGCCCTCACGATGGCGCCACCCGCCGCCCACGAGTAATCGTGCGCACCGCTTGCCCGTCTTCACCCGCTCTGACGATTGGTCGACCGACGCCATGACGCGTGAGGAATGTCACAAAGCGACGTGTCAACTGTGAAGCAAGACTGGCCGAGTGGTAAAACACGCACGCACACGCACGCACGCGCACGCGCACGCACGCGCACGCACGCACGCGCACGCACGCGCACGCACGCACACGAGAGGACAAAAAAGGTCGTCCATGCGAGATAGAGAGGGGACAGACAGGCAGGCAGACAGACAGGCAGGCAGACAGGCAGACAGACAGACAGGCAGGCAGACAGACAGACAGACAGGCAGGCAGGCAGGCAGACAGACAGACAGGCATAGCAATGAGAGCACGACAGCATAAGTACACAGACGCTCGCGAAGAGAGAGCAGAAATTATGCATCTGAGAATGTTCCACGTCTTGCCAGCACACGGCGGCTGCGGCCGAGCGAGCGGGCGGTGATTGGTGCGCAGGGTGTGACAGAAATGGCGACAGCGCGGCGTGTCAACCAATGGACACACGACAATCAATTACGTCACACGTGAAAAAATATAAAAAAGACAATGATGACGTTGACAATGGCTTTGGCAAAGTTGAGTGACGTTGACAACGACGACAGTGACGTTGACAACGACGACAGTGACGTTGACAACGACGACAGTGACGTTGACAACGACTTTGGCAAAGTTGAGTGCGTCGTTGTCAACGTTGTGTGACGTTGACAACGACGACAGTGACGTTGACAACGACGACAGTGACGTTGACAACGACATCACACACACACAGTGTCGTCGGCGTAGCGGTCACCGCGCGCGATACCAGAACACACGCACAACAAACATAAATCAATACAACACATACTGACGGTGTGTTTGCGTGTATGCGTGCGTGCGTGCGTGCGTGTGCGTGTGCGCGCGTGTGCGTGCAGGCGAGGAACAGTCAGGTGACATTCAGCCAGAGTACAGCACGATGATATAAACAGTACTCGTAGACAGACCAAGCATATATTCACAACAGAGTAGTACGTATACGTAGTAGTAGTAGAAGTAAAAGTAGAGCTTTAAAAACATCGAGCATCCTCAGGGACGGGACGTCTAATTTCTCACACGCAAACTTCCGACATCTCCAACCCCCCCGCCCCCGATATACGTTGCAAGAGCTTAGTAAGGCAATTTCGCCCACTACAATCCACTACAGATGGCGCTGATTGCTATCTACAAACCCCCTGTCTTTACAATACCTACCTACACATCCCTGTCTTACAATACCTACTCATGACCTGTCTGTACAATACCATACCTTATAACATCACCTGTTCCTACAATACCTACGCTATCAGTCCTTCTTACAATACTACTACACATCCCTGTCTTACAATACCTATCCTATAACACCCTGTCTTACAATCTACCTACATCATCCTGCTTACAATACCTGACCTAACATCCCTGTCTTACAATACCTAACCTACACATCCCTGTCTTACAATTACCTATACACATCCCTGTCTTACAATATCCTACCATACACATTCCCTGTCTGACAATACTACCTAACACATCATGTCTTACAATCCTACCTATAGCATTACCTGTCTTACAAACCTACTACCATCCTTGTCTTATCAATACCTACACATCCCTGTCTTACAATACCTACCTATACATCCCTGTCTTACAATACCTACCTACACATCCCTGTCTTACAATACCTACACATCCCTGTCTTACAATACCTACCTATACTATCACTGTCTTACAATATTACCTACACATCCCTTGTCTTACGAATACCACATCATCGCTGTCTTACAATAACCTACCTACACATCCCGTGCCTTACAATTACTACTACATCCCTGTCTTACAATACTACCTACACATCCGCTGTCTTTACATATACCTACGACATCACCCTGTTCTTACAATACTTACCTGACACAATCCCTGTCTTATCAATACCGACACATCCCTGTCTTACAATAACCTACCTACTACATCCTGTCCTTAAACAATACCTTACACATCCCTGTCTTACAATACCTACCTATACATCCCTGGTCTTACAAACCTACACATCCCTGTCTTACAATACCTACACATCCCTGTCTTACAATACCTACCTACACATCCCTGTCTTACAATACCTACCTACACATCCCTGTCTTACAATACCTACCTATACATCTCGTGTCTTAGCAATACCTTACCTATACATTCCCTGTCTTATCAATACCTACCTATATCAGTCCCTTGTCTTACCAAATACCTACACATCGCTGTCTTACAATACTACCTGTACAACAATCCCTGTCTTATAACATAGTACCTAACTACTACATACCCTGTCTTTACAATTACCTTACCTATTACATCCCTGTCTTACAATACCGTACCTAACACATCCCGTCTTACAATACCTACGCATAATACATTCCTGTCTTAACAATACATACCTAATACATCCTGTCTTACAGATACTACCTACACATCCCTGTCTTACAATACCTACCTATACATCCCTGTCTTACAATACCTACCTAACATCCCTGTCTTACAATACCTACCTAACTACATCCCTGTCTTACAATACTACGCTATACATCCCTGTCTTACAATACCTACTATACATCCCTGTCTTACATAATACTCTACCTATACATCCCTGTCTACGAATACCGTTACAATCCGCTTGTCTTACAATACCTACCTACACATCCCGGTCTTATCAATACCTACACATCCCCTGTCTTTACAATACCTACCTATACATTCCTGTCTTACCAATACCTACCTACGACATCGCCTGTCTTACAATACTACTACACATCCCTGTCTTACAATACCTACCTACACATCCCTGTCTTACAATACCTACCTATACATCCCTGTCTTACAATACCTACCTACACATCCCTGTCTTACAATACCTACACATCCCTGTCTTACAATACCTACCTATACATCCCTGTCTTACAAACCTACCTTTACAACATCCCCTTGTCTTACAATTACCTACCTACACATCCCTGTCTTACAATACCTACCTACACATCCCTGTCTTACAATACCTACACATCCCTGTCTTACAATACCTACACATCCCTGTCTTACAATACCTACCTACACATCCCTGTTCTTACAAAATACCTACCATCCCTGTCCTTACAATAACTACCTACATCCTTCTTACAATACCTACCTACACATCCGCTGTCGTTACAATACTACCTACAAATCGCCTGTCTTTAACAATACCTTACTGACACATCCTGTCTTACAATACCTACCTATCACATTAGCCCTGAGTCTTACAATACCTACACATCCTGTCTTATCAGATACCTACACATCTCGTCTTAGCACTACCGCTACCATACACATCCCTGTCCCGTTACAATTAGCTACCTACCATCCTGTCTTACAATAGCCTACCTACACATCCCTGTCTTAGCAATACCTAACCTACACATCGCCTGTCTTACAATACCTAACCTACACATCCCATGTCTTACATACTACACATCCCGTCTTACAATACCGTACACATCCCTGTCTTAGCAATACCTAACCTACACATCCCTGTCTTACAATACCTACCTACACATCCCTGTCTTACAATACGCTACTCTACACACCCTGTCTTAACAATACGCTACCTACACATCCCCTGTCTTACAATACCTACCTACACATCCCTGTCTTACAATACCTACCTACACATCCCTGTCTTACAATACCTACCTATACATCCCTGTCTTACAATAGCACCTACACATCCCTGTCTTACAATACTACCTATAGCATCCTCTGTCTACAATACATATCCTTACACATTCCCTGTCTTACAATACCTACACATCCCTGTCCTTAACAAATACTACACATCCCTTTCTTACAATAACCTACCGTACAGCATCCCTGTCCTACAATTACCTACGGATACACATCCCTGTCTTTACAATAACCTACCTATACATCCGTGTTCTTACATACCTACCTACACATGCCCTGTCTTACCATAATACCTACCTATACATGCCTGTCTTAACTAATACCTACCTACACTCCCTGGTCTACATATACCTACCTACACGAATTCCTAGTCCTTACGAATACCGTACACATCGCCCTGTCTTACAATACTACCTATACATCCCTGTCTTACAATAGCCTACGCTACACATCCCTGTCTTACAAATAGCCTACCTTACACATCCTGTCTTACAATACACTAGCACATCCCTGTTTCAATACCTAAACTATACATTCCCATGTCTTACAATACCACGCTACCACATCCTGTCTTAAGCTAATACCCTACTCACATCCCTGTCTTACAATACGCTTACACATCCCTGTCTTACAATACCTACCTATATATCCCTGTCTACAATACCTACCTACTACATCCCTGGTCTACACATACTACACATCCCTGTCTTACAATACCTACCTATACATCCCTGTCTTACAATACCTACCTACACATCCCTGTCTTACAATACCTACCTACACATCCCTGTCTTACAATACCTACACATCCCTGTCTTACAATAACCTACATATTCCCTGTCTTACAATACCTACCTACACATCCCTGTCTTACAATACCTACACATCCCTGTCTTACAATACCTACCTACACATCCCTGTCTTACAATACCTACCATACATCAGTCCTGTCTTCAATATCCATACCTACACATCCCTGTCTTACAATACCTACCTATACATCCCTGTCTTACAATACCTACCTATACATCCCTGTCTTAAACAGATACCGACCTATACATCGCCTGTCTTACAATACCTATCCTATGCACATCCCTTCTTAGACAATTACCTACCTATACATTCCCTGTCTTACAATACTACCTACAGCATCCCTGTCTACAAATCCTTACCTACACATCCCTGTTCTTACCAATACCTACACACCCTGTCTTATGCAATACCTACACATCCCTGTCTTACAATACCTAACCTAGCGACATCCGCTGTCTTACAATACCTACCTATACATCCCTGTCTTTACATATACCTTACCTACACATCCCTGTCTACAATACTACCTATACATCCCTGTCTACAAATACCTACCTATACATCCTGTCTTACTAATACCTATCCTACACATTCCGCTGTCTTACATAACTACCTATACAGATTCCCTGTCTTACAATAGCCTACCTATACACATTCCTGTCTTCTTACATACCTACGCTATATCATCGCCTGTCTTTACAATACCTACCTAAACATCCTGTCTTACAATCTACCTACACATCCCCGTCTTACAATTACCTACCTATACATCCTGTTTACAATTCGTACCTATACATCCCTGTCTAACTAATACCTACCTATACATCCCTGTCTTACAATACCTACCTGTACATCCCTGTCATTTACAATTACCTTACCTATTACATCCCTGTCTTACAATACCTACACCATCACTGTCTACAATACGCCTACCTTGGATACATCCCTGTCTTACAATACCTACCATAGCATCCCTGTCTTACAATACCTACCGTACAAACCGCCTGATCTTACAATACCTACCGTACAAACGCCTGTCTTACAATACCTACCTACACATCTCCTGGTCTTACAATACCTACCTATACATCCCTGTCTTACAATACCTACCTACACATCCCTGTCTTACAATACCTACCTATACATCCCTGTCTTACAATACCTACACATCCCTGTCTTACAATACCTACCTACACATCCCTGTCTTACTAAATACCTACCTATTACATCCCTGTCTACAATACCTACCTACACATCCCTGTCTTATCAATACTACCTACGACATCCCTTTCTTACAATAACCGTACCTACACGATCCCTTGTCTTACAATCCCTACCTACACATCCCTGCTCTTACAATAACCTACGCTACACACGCCCTGTCTTACAATACCTACCTACATATCCCTGTCTTACAATAACCTACGCTATACATCCTGTCCTTACAATACCGTACCTAACATCCCTGTCTTACAATACCGTACCTTACAATCCCTTCTACAAATACCTACACATCCCTGTCTTACAATACCTACCTACACATCCCTGTCTTACAATACCTACACATCCCTGTCTTACAATACCTACCTACACATCCTGTCTTTTACAATATCTCTACACATCCCTTCTTACAATACCTACCTACACACCCTTCTGATTACTAATACCTACCTACACATTCCCTGTCTTACAATACATACCTATCATCACCCCTGTCTTCACATACCCTACCTACATCATCCTGTCTTACGGAATATCACCCCTCTAAACCTACCTACACATCCCTGTCTTACAATACCTACCTACACATCCCTGTCTTACAATACCTACCTACACATCCCTGTCTTACAATACCTACCTACACATCTCCTCCTCTTTACGAAAACCTACCTACACACCCTGTCTTACAATTACTACTCTACACATCCCTGTCTTACGAATACCTACCTACACATCCTGTCCTCTACAACCCTACCATAACATCCCTGTCTTACATACTACCTAACACATCCCTGTCTTACAATACCTACCTTACATCACCTGTCTTACAATACCTACTATCATGCCCTGTCTACAATACACCTACCTACACATCCCTGTCTTACATATACCTACCTACACATTCCCTTCTTACAATAC